TGAATGCAGATTTGGACCAAGCGGACCTAATAGACATTTACAGAACATTCCACCCCAAATCCACAGAATGCACATTCTTATCAGCACCACACTGCACTTACTCTAGAATTGATCACATAATTGGAAGTAAATCAGTCCTCAGCAAATGCAAAAGAATGGAAATTGTAACAAACAGTGTCTCAGACCACAGCACAATCAAATTAGAACTCAGGATTAAGAAAAGCACTCAAAACTGCACAATCACATGGAAACTGAAAAACTTGCTCCTGAATGACGGATAAACAATGAAGTGAAGGCAGAAATAAAAATGTTCTTTGAAACCAATGAGAAGGAAGACACAACGTACCAGATCCTATGGGACACATTTAAAGCAGTGTGGAAATTTATAGCAATAAATGCCCACATGAGAAACAAGGAAAGATCTAAAATTGCTACCTTATCATCAAAATTGAAAGATCTAGAGGAGCAAGATCAAAAAAACTCAAAAGCAAGCAGAAGATGAGAAAATAACTTAAGATCAGAGCAGAACTGAAGGAGATAGAAACACAAAAAAACCCTTCAAAAAATCAATAAATCCATTAGCTGGTTTTTTGAAAAGATAAACAAAATAGACCACTAGCTAGACTAATGAAAAAGAGAAGAGAGAAGAATTGAATAGATGCAATAAAAAACAGTAAAGGGGAGATCATCACCGATTCCTCAGAAACACAAACTGCCATCAGAGATTACTACTAACAACTCTCTGTACATAAACCAGTAAATCTGGAAGAAATGGATAAATTCCTGGCCACCTGCACACTCGCAAGACTAAGCCAAGAAGAGGTTGAAACGCTGAATAGACCAATAACAAGGTCTGAAGTTGAGGCAGCAATTAACAGCCTACCGACCAAAAAAAGTCCAGGTCCAGATGGCTTCACGGCTGAATTCTACCAGACATACAAAGGAGCTGGTACGATTCCTGTTGAAACTGTTCCAAACAATACAAAAAGAAGGAATCCTCCCTAACTCATTCTATGAGACCAACATCATCCTGATACCAAAATGTGACAGACACAACTAAAAAAGAAAACTGCAAGCCAATATCCATGATGAACATTGATGCAAAAATCTTCAATAAAATACTGGCAAACCAAATCCAACAGCACATCAAAAAGCTTATCCACCACGATCAAGTAGGCTTCATCCTAGGGATGCAAGGCTGGTTTAACATATGCAAATCTATAAACATAATCCACCACATAAATAGAATAAAAGACAAAAACCACATGATTATCTCAGTAGATGCAGAGAAGGCCTTTGACAAAATTCAACAGCCTTCATGCTAAAAGCTCTCAATAAACTAGGTATTGATGGAACATATCTCAAAACAATAAAAGCAACTTATGACAAACCCACAGCCAATATCATACTGAATGGGCAAACATTAGAAGCATTCCCTTTAAAAACTGGCACTAGACAAGGATGCCCTCTTTCACCACTCCTATTCAATATAGTATTGGAAGTTCTAGCCAGAGCAATTAGGCAAGAAAAAGAAATAAAGGGCATTCAATTAGGAAAAGAAGTCAAATTGTCCCTATTTGCAGACAACATGATCGTATATTTAGAAGACCACATGGTCTCAGCCCAAAACCACCTTAAGCTGATAAGCAACTTTGGCAAAATCTCATGATACAAAATCAATGTGCAGAAATCACAGGCATTCCTATACAACAATAACAAACTGACAGCCAAATTATGAGCAAACTCCTGTTTACAATTGCTACAAAGAGAATAAAATACCTAGAAATATAACTAACAAAGGAGGTAAAGATCTCTTCAAGGAGAACTATAAACCACTGCTCAAGGAAACAAGAGAGGACACAAACAGATGGAGAAACATTCCATTCTCATGGTTAGGAAGAATCAATATCGTGAAAATGGCCATACTGCCCAAAGTACTTTATAGATTCAATGCTATCCCCATCAAGCTACCAATGACCTTCTTCAAAGAGCTGGAAAGAACCACCTTAAACTTCATATGGAACCAAAAGAGAGCCGGCATAGCCAAGACAATTTGAAGCAAAAAGAACAAAGCCAGAGGCATCATGCTACCTGACGTCAAAGTATACTACAAGGCTACAGTAATCAAAACAGCACAGTACTGGTACCAAAACAGAGAGACAGACCAATGGAACAGAACAGAGGCCCTGTAGGCAGTGCCACTCATCTATAACTATCTGATCTTCGGCAAACCTGACAAAAATAAGCAATGGGGAAAGGATTCCCTGTTTAATAAATGGTGTTGGGAAAACTGGCTAGCCATATGCAGGAAGCAGAAACTGGACCCTTTCCTGACACCTTACACTAAAAGTAACTCCAGATGGATTAAAGACTTAAGCATAAGACCTAACACCATAAAACCCTAGAAGAAAACCTAGGTAAAACCATCCAGGACATAGGCATAGGCAAGGACTTCATGACTAAAACAGCAAAAGCAATGGCAACAAAAGCCAAAATAGACAAATGGGACATAATTAGACTTAAGAGCCTCTGCACAGCAAAAGAAACAGTCATTAGAGTGAACCAGCAACCAACAGAATGGGAAAACATTTTTGCAGTCTACCCATCAGACAAGGGGCTAGTATCCAGAATCTACAAAGAACTAAAACAGATTTACAAGAAAAAACACCTATTCAAAAGTGACGAAGGATATGAACAGACACTTTTCAAAAGAAGACATATATGCGGCCAACAAACATATGAAAAAATGCCCATCATCATTGGTTATTACAGAAATGCAAATCAAAACCACATTGAGACACCACCTTACGCCAGTTAGAATGGCGATCATTAAAAAATCTGGAGACAACAGATGCTAGAGAGGATGTGGAGAAATAGGAACACTTTTACACTGTTGATGAGAGTGTAAATTAGTTCAATCATTGTGGAAGACAATGTGGCGATTCCTCAAGGATCTAGAAATAGAAATTCCATTTGATCCAGCAATCCCATTCCTGGGTATATACCCAAAGGATTATAAATCATTCTATTATAAAGACACATGCACATGCATGTTCATTGCAGCGCTGTTTATGATAGCAAAGACCTGGAACCAACCCAAATGCCCGTCAATGATAGACTGGACAAAAAAAATGTGGCACATATGTACCATGGAATACTATGCAGCCATAAAAAATGATGAGTTAGTGTCCTTTGTAGGGACATGGATGAATCTGGAAACCATCATTCTTAGCAAACTGACACAAGAACAGAAAACCAGACACCACATGTTTTCACTCATAGGTGGGTGAACAGTGAGAACACTTGGGCACAGGGAAGGGAACAACACTCACAGGGCTAGGTGGGGGGCGGTGTTGGAGGCGAGGGGAGGTGGGGGTAGCGGGGGAGGGGGGAGGATGGGGAAGGATAACACCGGGAGAAATGCCTGATGTAGGTGACGGCGGGTGGTGGGGGAGGGATGGAGACAGCAAACCACCATAGAATTTAAGTACCTATGCAACAGTCCTGCTGCACATGTACCCCAGAGCCCAAATACAATAAAAACAAAACAAAAAACAAACAATGTGTCCTTAGAATCAGTTATCTCTTTAAAATCCCTTAATTTATAGAAATTTTTGTGTTTCAAAAGTATAGCTAGGGCAGTCCCCCTTTAGGATGTATACTTGAAGGATATCAAATAGCCTCATAAAGGTGTCTGCACTCCTATGTTCATTGCAGTGTTATTCACAAGGTAGCCAAGATATGGAAGCAACCTAAATGTCTGTTAATGGCAAATTGATAAAGAAAATGTGTGTGTATACCTGTGTGTTTATACAGTGGAACGTTATTCAGCCTTTGAAAAGAAGGATATTCTGTCATTTGCCACAACGTAATGGACCTGGAGGACATTATGCTAAGTGAAATAGACCACACACAAAAAGAAAAATACTGTATAATCTCACTTAGATGTGGAATATTTTTAAAAAGTCAGATACACAGAGATGGACAATAAAACAGTGGTTACCTTGGGCAGGAGGAGGAAGGAAATGGGTTTATATAGATAACAAAGTAGCAGATATGTAGAATGAAGTCTGGAGAGCTTATGTATAACATGAAGACTGTAGTTAATAAAATACAGTAGTATTAGGGATTTTTGTTAAATAAGTAATTTAGCTGCTCATCTCTCTATCTCTGTCTCTCTGTCTCTCTCTCTGTCTCTCTTTCTCTGACACACACACACGCGCACACACACACACACACACACACACACACAGTAACTATGATCAATATGTTGCCTCACTATAGTAAGCATTTTACTATCTATATACATCCCATGATATCATCTTGTAAATCTCATATACACAATGGAAAAAAAATTGTTTAAAAGGTATTGTTGGGGCAGAGATCAGGCTTAACTGTGTGGTTTTATCTGTAGCACCCAGCATAGTGCCTGATACATAGAAGGTGTTTAGTCTTTTTTTTTTTTTTTTTTTTTTTTTAAGTATCTGCAATATTTACTTGAAATTCTAGTTTCTCACTTGAGAGGCATCTTGGAAGGGTATGTGATTTTAGATATTAATACAGGAAGTACTCTTCCTTTTCTTTTTACTACAGTGTTGGTATTGGTGCTGTTTCAGGGACATTACTGATGGCCTTTTAGTTAGAATTTAAATACTCTCCTTTCTGTAGCCAGCAGGGATCTGTTGGTATAAAGTCTTATTTTTCTTTTCTTTTCTTTTATATATATATATATATATATTTTGAAAAGGAGTTTCGCTCTTGTTACCCAGGCTGGAGTGCAATGGCACCATCTCGGCTCACCGCAACCTCTGTCTCCTGGGTTCAAGCAATTCTCCTGCCTCAGCCTCCTGAGTAGCTGGGACTACAGGCGTGCGCCACCATGCCCAGCTAATTTTTGTATTTGTAGTAGAGACGGGGTTTCACCATGTTGACCAGGATGGTCTCGATTTCTTGACCTCGTGATCCACCCGCCTCAGCCTCCCAAAGTGCTGGGATTATAGGCGTGAGCCACCGCGCCCGGCCTTATTTTTCTTTTCTTTTGGGTAATTGGTGCTTTCTAACTTTCCAGCACTTAGACTCACAGGATATTAGTTATCTATTGCTGCAAAACACAGTACTTCAAAACTTAGCATTTTAAAACCAACATTTATTATCCCACAGTTTCTATGGGTCAGGAGTATAGGAGTAGCTTAGCTGGGTGCCTCTGGTGCAGGGTCTCTTGAGGTTGCAGTTAAGCTGTTGGCTGGGGCTATATCTGAAAGTTTTACTGGGGCGGGGGATGATGTGCTTCCAAGTTCACTCCCCTGAGTGTTGGGAGGAGGACTTAGTTTTGTGCTTTATGGGCATCTTTCTGGTTTATGTTTGTTACCTGGTGTCTAGAGCGAAATACTGGGCGCTTTCCCTCTAGCATGATTGTTTTGTTTTTTCTCTTATTTAGATGAAAACTTACGTGAATTTTAATGTAAACCCCACCCGCATTGTGGTCTCAGGGGCCTTTTAGAAAATGAATAGAATGTACACAGAGGCAAAAATTTTAGCCTGTGACCTTTCGAAGAATTTTCTGAGTGAAACTAGAAACAAATTAACCATTGTTCACAGAGTGCATTGCTTCATGTTATGCCTTCTTTTGCTAAATCCTCTTGTTTGTTGAAATCTTTTAGCTTAAGTTGCTGATAGTTTGTTACTAGAGATCATAATTAAAAGGTGATTATATTTCTTCATGCAGTTTAGCTTTACATTTCATCCATTATACCCAAAGACATGTATAATATAGCATGAAATTTTAAAAAACGGGTTTGTTTTTCAGGAGGCTGAGGCAGGAGAATTGCCTGAACCCAGGAGGCGGAGGTTGCGGTGAGCCAAGATCGCGCCATTGCACTCCAGCCTGGGTAACAAGAGCGAAACTCCATCTCAAAAAAAAAAAAAAAAAAAGGGTTTTTTTTTCTCAATTGTGTAAAAGTAATGTATCTAATTGAAAAGAAGAGAAACTTGTAAACATTTAAAAAAATCTTCTTATTCTTACCTCTCAAATACAGTGACCTCATATTTTTAATATTCAAGGTTTTTTCCTCCTCATTCTAGGCATAATTATTATATGTGTTCCAATATTACTTTCTTGTGAAAAAATGTAGTTACAAATGTGATCTAATTTCATTTTGTACTTTAAACATTATTAATGAGATGATCATATTTTTATATATTTAGTGATCACTTTGAATTGCCCCTTATTTCTTGAACAGTTTTTCTAATAAATATTCTTATTAAAAGATAAAACAACCTTATCTAGTTATGAAAACTTTTTGGTAGCAAATTATATGTACATTCTTTTACCCCGTTTGTTTGTTTCTTTGCTAGCACTGTCTGTTACAGAATTTATACATTTTCTTGAGGGCAAATATTAGTGTTTTTATTATAGGTACTGTGTGTTTGTCTTGCTTAGGAAAGTCTTTCTCACTTCATTGTGATTAAATTATTCTTTAGTATTTGTCCTGAGAGTTTTCTGGCCTTTTTTCTTAATCACACACACACACACTCACTCTCTCTCTCTCTCTCTCTCTCACACACATACACACATTCTCTCTCTCTCTCTCTCTCACTTGCTGTCTTTGAGACTGGTCTCGTTCTATCACCCAGGCTGGAGTGCTGTGGCTTTGTTTTTCACAAACACACAGACACACAGACACACACACACACACACACACACACACACACACACACACAGAGGCACGCACACACGAGTCTTTGAGATGGGTGTTGTTCTGTCACCCAGGCTGGAGTGCTGTGGTGTGTGGTGTGATCATGGCTCACTGCAGCCTCGACCTTTCAGGCTCAAGAGATTCTCTCACCTCGGCCTCCCAGGTAGTTGGGACTACAGGTGTATGCCACCACCCCAGCTAATTTAAACATTTTTTTTTTTTTTGTAGAAACAGGATCTCACTTTGTTGCCCTGGCTGATGTCAAACTTCTGGGCTCAAGTGATCCTCTTGCCTCAGACTCCCAAAGTGCTGGTTTTACAGGCACGAGCCATCACATCTGGCAACAGCCATATATTTTAAAATATGGTATGAATTAGTCTTTTCTTTTTGATGTGACATACTTGTATTGACTAATCAATTCTTTACCATTGATTTGAAATACCACCTTTATTATATTAAATTTCTGTGTAAATATGAGTGTCTTTTCTGTGACCACAATTTATACGTATACAGCTTTTGTTATTAGAGCTTAACATTATGTTTCAGTACTTGGTCATGTCTCTTGTTCTTGTTTATCAAAAATTTCTTTGGTATTCTCACAAGTTTATTCTTCCAAATTAACTTTAGGGTCAACTTACCATTTTAAATAAGCACTCCCCTTCTAAATCTATTATAACATCTCACTACTTTCTCCTCTATTCTTACTAGCTTAATTTAAGCTACCATCCTCTCTTGACTAGGACTCTTTTCTAACATACAGCAACAAGAGGGTTCTTTTTAAAACATAATTCAGATATGTCATTCCTTTGCTTAAATTCCTTCGATGCCTTCTTCTCCTGTCTTTTGGTTATCTGTTGCTGTATAACCAACTCCAAAGCACTGTAGCCGGAAAAACAACCATTTTATTGTGCTCACAATTTTGGGGGGTCAGGAATTCATGACAGGTTCAGCTGGGCAGCTCTTCTGTTCCATATGGTGTAGTTGAGGCTGGAGAATCCCTTCCATTATGGCTTCTTCAGTTACGTGTCTGGCACCTCAGTGCTTCTTGGCCTCTGTCTTCACAATGGCATCTCATTCTTCAGAATCTCTGCATGTGGTCTTGGCTTCTCATAGCATGCTGGTCTCAGAGTAATCCCATTTTTCACATGGCAGCTTGCTTCCAGGAAGAGGGCAATAAAAACTGTCAGACCAATTAAGGGCTATGGCCTGGAACTACACAGTGTGCCTTTAGTCATATTTTATTGGTCACAATAATCACTGGACTTGCTAGATGAAAGGAGGTGGAAGAATAAATTTCTCTTCCTAATGGGGGAGTGGCAAAATCTTACTGCAGGAAAGTATGTGGGATGAGAGATATTTGACAGTTGAAAAATATAATCTGTGACATCATCAAATTCAAAATAAATTCAAAGCTCTTAAAATGGCCTGTAAGGCTTTTCATGATCTGATTCCTGCTTCTCGGATCTCTGCCCTCATCCCCTAGATTTTCTTCCTTTGTTCCCTTTGGGTTAACCACATTGGCCTTCTTGCTAGGCTTTGAACACGTGACCCCCAACATCAGATCCATTTTACTTAACAACTACTGCCTTGAATGCTCTTTAGATCTTTGCATGGATGCCTGTCTGTCTGTCTCTCTCTCTCTCTCTCTCTCTCTCCTCTCTCTCTCTCCCTCTCCCTCTCCTTTCTTTCTTTTCTTTCCTTTCTTTTTTTCTATTTTGAGACAGGTTATAGTTGCCCAGGCTGGAGTGCAGTGGCACGATCTCGGCTCACTGCAACCTCTGCTACCCAGGTTCAGGCAGTTTTCCTGCCTCAGCCTCCTGAGTACCTGGGACTACAGGCATGTACCACCATGACTGGCTAACTTATGTATTTTTTGGTTTACCGAGGTTTCACCACGTTGGCCATGCTAGTCTCAAACTCCTGACGTCAAGCGATCCGCCTTCCTTGGCCTCCCAGAGAGCTGGGATTAGAGGTGTGAACCATAGCCAGTCTTCCTATTCTTTTACTTCATTTAGGTCTCTGCTCAAATGTCACATCTTCAGAGAGCTTCCCCTGACCACCTTATCTGATAAATTCTTGGTTACTGAGAACTCCTTAATCTTGATTTATTTTTCTTTTTCATAGAATTTGGTGCTGTTTGTAGTAGTCTGTGGGGCCTGAGTACCACTATTTTTTCTTCCCTGCCTGGCTTCTGAGGAAGTTGAGAAATAAGGGTAAAGGGGAGGCCAAAATATATTAAATCCCCCTAACTAAAGGGAGATGAAGCAAAGGGAATAAAGGAAGTATCAAGACGATTCTCAGATGTCGGACATGGGAAACTGGGTAGATTGTGGTACTATTTACTAAGATAGGAAACATGGTAGGAAGATTATGGATTAAGATTTGGAAATGTTGAGTTTGAAGTGCCTACAAGTTATCCACATAGAGAAACCAAATGGACATTTGGATAACACATCTGAAGCTCAGGAGAGAAGTTTACATTACAGGTGCAGGTTTTGTAGTTGTTTTAGTTTTCTATTGCTTTGTAACAAACCACCACAAACAGTAGCCTAAAACACAAAATTACTATATTACAGTTTCTGTGGATCAGGAGTCAGGGCATTGCTTAGCTGGGTTCTCTGCTCAGGTTCTCATCAGGTTGAAATCAAGTTTTTGGTTGGGGTCTCAATCTTATCTGAGGCTTGGGGTTCTCTTCCAGGCTCACTGGTTGTTAGCAGAAGCTTCAGGAATCTGGGGAGACAAGATTTTTTGGAGTGCCAACCCAGGTGTTTCCATTCCATGTGTCAGAGTCTTGTTCTTTCCCAGCCAGGACTCTGATCTGGGCATAGCAGACCTGCTGCCTTTGGGAGTTCAATCTTTGAAGCCCAACACATATATGTTTAGATATCTAATCTATATATCTCTGAGATATATATGTATAAATGAATCAGCGATAATTAAGTGATGGCTCTCTGGTCCTTAGGTTTCTCTGCCTTCCTGCTGCAGGAGAGGAGAGCCTCTTTGTGTTTTCAGAGAGGTTCTCTAGCTTTCAAACTTAGTTTTCAATTGGAAGTTAATCAGCTTTTTGTTGTTGTTGTTACATTTTTTCCCAGAGCTCAGAGTTTAGCAATATTCTTTTTTTTTTTTTGAGACCGAGTCTTACTCTGTCACCTAGACTGGAGTGCGGGGGCATGATCTTGGCCCACTGCAACCTCCTCCTTCCAGGTTCAAGCGATTCTTGTGCCTCAGCCTCCTGAGTAGCTTGCATTATAGGCACCCAACTCATCTGGCTAATTTTTTTTTTTTAAATAGTTTTAGTAGAGATGGGGTTTTGCCATGTTGGCCAGGCTGGTCTTGAACTCCTGGCCTCAGGTGATCAGTCTGCCTCAGCCTCCCAAAGTGCTGATAATACAGGCGTGAGCCACTGTGCCCGGCCTATATTCTTGATTCATTATTTTGTAGTTACTGCTACTTCTTCATTGCCAGCTGTAAAATCCCAGTACCTGGAAGCCTAATGCAGGATGTTTATTAAGGTGTTTGTTTGTTTGTTTGTTTGTTTGTTTTTTAATTTTGAAATCAACACCTAGGAGTGAGGATCACTGGACAAATGCATTACAGGCCCAGCCCCAGCTTTGGCCAACCCCCATGGGGAGCCTGGAGTGAGAATGGGAGCCTGGGGCAAGAATGGCTCTTCTGAGTTGCCCACAATTGCAGCTGAAGTGTCCAGGCCTTTATATTGCTGTATCAGTTAGTCATTGGATGTGGGTTACCTTGGAAAGGGTATGACCTTGAACAGGGTTGTTCCCTGTAAGTGAGACAATCCCTGAAGGGGCTGACTGACAGCACTCCCAGCAGTTAAGGCAAGTCTTATTTTGAAGGAGGAGCTGAGTAGCACCTCAGTGTCTACAGTGATTTCCCTGTATCCACCAAATGGCCAATTTGTTTTTGTTTTTTATTATCATTATGCATTCATGGATTTAAGCATATATTTGGCAAACTTTCTGTTAAATTATGTGTATAGAAAAGTGCACAAGTTGTAAATACACAGCTCAGTAAATGTTCACAAGGTAAACACACCAGTGTAACCAGTATCCAGATCAAGAAATAATACTGTGACTCTAGAAGTCCTCCTTGTGTTTCCTTTCAGTCACTGCCTTCCAAGGTTCTATCCTGACTCTAAAATCATGGGATGAATTTAGTATGGTTTTGAAATTTATGTAACATCATATAGTATGTCTTATTCTGACTTCTCTCAGTGTTATATTTGTGAAATTAAGCTCACAGTTGTGATTCCCTTGCTGTATATTTTTTCATGGTATGACTGTATAAATGAATGAGTGATAATTAAGTGCTTTTAAAAACCATTTCTGGCGAGGATCCAAGATGGCCAAAAAGGAACAGCTCCGGAGTGCAGTTCCCAACAAGAACAACGGAGAGGTTGAGTGTTCACCGCATTTCCAAACAAGTTTTCACTGCCCACAGACCAGGAGATTCCCGGGCCGAAAAGCACCACAAGTTTTCAGTATGGCTGGTGCCACGGGTTGGCGCACAGAAACTCACATAAATCTGGGCAGCCGTTTCAACTGGCACCTGGAACGCCTGGGAGACAGAGCGGCCCATTCAACTGAAAGGGAGGGGCCTGAGACCGGGAGCCAGGCATTCTAGCTCGTTGGGAAGAATGCTTCAAAACAAGCAATCTGAAATGCTCTGGATTGAGAGTTTCGCAGCAAGCACAGCTGGACCCAGGACAGTCCAGCTCAGTGGGGGGAAGGGTGTCTATCACTACCGAGGCAGTCTGCCAATACCGAGGCCTTTCACACAGCAGCTGGGCAGAGCCTGTGGCAGTTCAGTAACACCTCTCCTGGGAGACTGTGACTAGACTACTCTGTGTGGGGCAGGGC